CGATAGGGGGCCGATTATATCGTGCATCCCTAATTTAAAATAAGAAAACACAATTGCATTGTCTTATTTCAATCTTATTCTAAGAGTAAAAATACTGATTCCATTGGCAAACTATCTGATTTACCTACCTTTGATTTACCTTTTTACCTGTTTAATTAAGGCTTGGTCCAATCAAGTACAGATGTGTTGCCACTTGATTATATAAGCACTGAGCTCTTGGAAGCTCAAGGAAAATGTTTTGTCAGAGTGAAATGGAATAAAAGACAACAGAGAACCTGGAACCGGTGGCTGCACTGCAAAAACGATCTAGAAATAAGTAAAAATTTCTTAAGTGTATTCACCCTTAATTTGAGTAAGTAAATGAGATAGTTTGCCAATGGAATGAGTAATTTCAGTCTTAAAATAAGATAATTAGATAATATGCACTTGAAATAAAGCAATGCAACTGTGTTTTCTTATTTTAAGTGTAAATTGTCTTGTTCCATCGGCAAAATGTCTCTTTTACCTCCTCAATCCAAGAACAAATGCACTTATTTTAAGAAAAAATGACTTAGTAAGATTTACATTTTTTGCAGTTTGAAGCTGATTTTTTTTTGGTTCACCTTATTGATCCTCGACCAAACTACCTCACAAATGGGCAGTGGTGGGATGTGAACCCAAGCCTCTCTCTCAACCCCCTCCCACCATGGACTGTTCTCCCTGCTGCCCTCTGGGAAGAGGCTTCACAGCATTCAATGCAGGTGTAGCAGATTCTGCAACTGCTTCTTCCTGATCACCATCAGACTGATGAACCGTTGAAAACTCTAAGTCACAAACTCTGCATCAAACTTTCATTTCAATGTGTTTTTTTAACACCATGTTTTTTTGTTGTTGTCCCAAAATGTTTACATTTGATCACTGCTGCACTTTAAGAAATGGAAATGTCATTTGAGCTGTAAAAAAATGTAAATCTCAATAAGTCATTTTTTACTTAAAAAGGAAATCGTCTTGTTCCATTGGCAAAGTGTCTCACTTACCTCCTCAATCACTGCAAAAACGATCTAGAAATAAGTAAAAAATTCTTAAATTAAGTGTATTCACCCTTAATTTGAGTAGGTAAATGAGATAGTTTGCCAATGGAATGAGTATTTTTACTCTTAAAATAAGATAATTAGATAATATGCAC